TTCAAGATATGTTAACTTTACATATAGGACGCATGTGGGATGCACATGCAAATCATAGAAAGCGTGGAAAATTTTCATCGGTACAATTCATACACAGTCAATTACAATCACTTGTAAAAACAAGACGATATATTGTGCCAAGATTCATTATAATCGATTATCGTTAATTTACATTTGATTAAACATGTGTTCAACATTCTAGGAGTTTAATCCTGTTTTCATAACCCTGTTTTCCTTCGAAAAAAAAAAATATATATATATATATATATATATATATATCTTTTGATAAAATCATGTCGACTTGGTGGAAGGATGACCTTGCGTAAACGATATTTTCACACGGAACTAAATGAAACTTTAGTCGTTCCACTCTCATACATGCGTAAGATTAGCACGCTGGCTGTGCCGGTAAGACACGTTGAAAGTAAATACATCACGGACGTGAGCGCCTATATGAGCGATGAAAAAGTAGAAAGAAAGTTATCAATATACACCTCGCATACGTATGGCGATCTGTTCGCGTCTTGTTGCGAACGAGTTTTGTAGTGAATGGATCGAATCGCAGCGCAACTAAACTTTTCACTTGACTGCTCGGTTCGCTGATTAATCGCTAAGGATCAATTCCATTCTTGCGCTCGATCATCTGTTTGTCGAACGAATCTAATTTGTACGGCATGGTACGTTTAATCTCATCGATTTGAGATTATTCGAAATAATTACAATATATACACACATACACACATATATATATATATATATATCCCAAGATTAAAGTTTTAATTTTAATTGTATATTTTACGTTAATTTTCGAGCTTAATTACAGAAAGGTGCGAGCCGGAGTTTAACGAACTTGTAGTAGAAATCTCTGGCAGTTCTATATGACTCTCCAGTTACTTTATCTAGAAAATAAAGAACCTAGTAATTTTACCTAGAAAATAAAGAAGTGATGTCATCACATCAACGTGAAAAGGATCACTCATTGACGGGCATAAATAATCCTTCGGAAATATGCTCATGTGGAATAGGCCCGTATGGCGAATGCATGTTTTCGAAATAGCAGAGCCCGCAGGCGGAAAAAAAGATGCGAAGAAAAGTCAGCGAGATTATAAAAAGCATTTGAAGCGATTTTCACAATGGCAACTCGTATTTGCGGTATCTCCTCTCTCTCTCTCTCTCTCTCGCAATTATGTCACCGCACAAACATAAAAAATTTAAAATTTGATAAACAATTCCACAAGGAATGCATTAATTGTATCGAATGCTGTACTTAGAGATTTTAGCGTTGTTTAAAAAATTGATTTAACTCAACTAGACGTTAATCGGAAAATAAATAATTACATTCTTATTTTCCGTTGTTCTAATAGATGTAAAAGTGAAAATACAAATATCGATATCAATTTCCGCGGCAATTCGCCAAGCTGCTCAGTAAACGAATATGTTTGCATGATTTATATAATGTGAAACGCATTAAAATTATCGAAATTTGCAAAAAGAAAGAGATATAAATTTATATGTATATATGTATACTATACATATTTATTACATTAATTTATTATACTAATTGTAGATATAAAAATGTCTGTAAAGAATGTGAAGAAACTAAAAAATGTCTGTAAAGAACCTAAAAAAATGTGAAGATTTTTCGATATCCGAGCAGATAATAAAAAATTACACCAATGAAAATTGATAAATATTCGTAATGTGTGTCACGGAATCACAGATGTACTAGGAGGTCAACAAACTACTGCTACGTGAAACTACATTTTCCATACGTATGCCAGAATAAGAAACCAGGGCGACATTAAAGGCAAATACACGCGAAATAAAGACAAGAATGTTTAGAAACTACTTTACATTACAATTTGACACGTTTAATCAAGGAAAGTAATATCAATAAAAAAATGGTATGGCCATTCTAATTTTCTGTTAGAATATCAGAAAAATGCCATTCTAAAACATGAATAAAATAACTAAATTTTTTTTTTTCCATCGAAAGGAATATTCAAATATTGTATTAGCTGACCATTTATCAGCGATATAAATTCAAGACAATACACAGCTCAAACTCTGTAAATCCTGCATTGACAGCATTCGAAAGAACAAGAATCGATCCATGCGTTATAGTCAATAATAAGCATTCATGATGTCACGACATCATTAATCTCACGTGGGAGATCACGTAGGCATTTCGTAGGCGTGAATTACAGGTGTCGTTCGACAGTGGGATGCTACAGACAATTTGGATAAGTTCGATTCAGTCGCTGTACGCCGCGCCGGCCGGCGTATTTTCTCCCAACACGACACAGAGGTTGAAATTTATCTTCCTTGCTTTTTGAGAGGTTTTTGTCTGATCTCGTCGACGACGACGACGACGACGACGTCGATGCGCGTGATGAACGAAACGCAAACAACGCATGCACGCGCATCTCCGCAGTAATATGACACACGTTTTCGCGTCTTCGAGATAAGAATTTCGCGAGAGAAGACTCGAGAACGATTATGCGCACCATTACCGATTAAAGACGAACAATACAGTCGTGCCGCGATAGGAATGCAGCTCGTAAATGTCACGGGCGGGGAGCCGAGACCTAACGGAGAACTTGGAGATGTTTATTGCTCTTCTCGCCTTACGAGACACGTCCCCGTCGTGGACTTAAACCTGCTCAATGAAAAGGCGCCGACATTACGTACGATTCTCGTGTGGCTTCGAGAGCTACGGACGCTGCAAAATAGTGCGAGATTCACAGATCTCTCTTTACGAGATGCTATGATTGCGTCTTGACAATGACTGTCTTTTAAGAAGACAGCCTTTACACGATTTATGTTGTATATTTTGAAAAAATGTAAAAAATAAAAAAAGGAAGGCTGTGACAAAAAGAAGGCTATATACACATACAATGGACAGGAGAGACGTTTAAACGTATAATTACTATATGTAACTTATCTTTATAAAATGCACATTCATACCGTATGATTACCGTGATTTATTTTTGTATATCCAAGTTTAATTTTAAATAAGAATTAAATTAAGATCGTATAATCAAGCTATACGTAGTTAGCTATTACTCATATATAACTGTTATTTATAGATAATATTGTACATATATATATACATACGAGTTCTGAAACTGCGATATTCGAATTTAATTAAAAGCTTACAGATCGCGGATAAGGGAGAAAGAAATTGCGCATTTTACAATCACGAGATAAACTAAAATGAGAATGATTAAAGGTCGGCAATCGGTGAATCAGATCATGATAATAGCCTGATAAGAATTAGCTTATCGACAACACAATTATTATAGTGACCGCGTGTCTAATATAAATAGCGTATGTCATTATTGTCCCTGTTGCGTTTGTGCCATTTACAAAAGAATAATCTTTACAATTGATATTTGAGATTGAAGAATACTTTCTCGTTAAAAGAGTATAATTTTTGCAAAAATTTCGTTTGCATTAATGAAAATTATAATTTTTGAAAGTTTTACAATTACAATAACTATTTCAATTGTCGATTTTACAGCCAAGCTTCTACCGATAATAGAAACTAATAGAAATTATATATATGGTTTTAACTGTTATACAAATGCGATATACATGTTCCTTTCAATATTTTAATGGAGATAGAGACTTGGAGAAATCAAGACGTGATCTGGATACAATGAATTATCCGACAATTAAGATTCCGCATCGTCCAATTAAGAACTTCAATCTTAAATAGTATTCTTTAATTTTTAATTAGTTAATTGTGCCTCATATAAACGGTTCTTTCGTTCGTTTTAATGTCACCGGAGAAACGTATCGATTACATTTTCGTGCAGTTACTACGAGCGCAGAATTATCTATCATTCCTACAGACGATCTTTAAATTATTTTCCCGAAATGTTATGAAATTGAAGAGAAAGATTAGATATATTCAAGTATGTAAAACAAGTCGTATGATTCACATTTATGATTCATACAATAGCATCGAGACAAATCGAGGCGAATTAGCTTTGTTATTTTTACATATATATTTGTACTCTACGTTCTACAATCTATACCAATACAAATTTCTTCTCTCCGTACCTCGAAACTAAAATTTTGATTAATAATTTGAAAAGCAATTTAAAGCTAACGAATTCTCTCGTCATTTTTAGCTTTGTTTAGACAATTACAATTTAACGTGAGATTAGCGAGTTTAAATATGCCACTAACGGGATAAATATCGAGAGATTTCTATTCTTTATTTCTTCAATATTATATATTTCCGGTTGTGCTAGAAATTCCGCATCAGTGAATTAAAAATGAAAAGGCAAAGCCGACATGCCAAGAGCGTTTATTAAATTCAGTTATTTTGTGTCCTTCCTCACTCGGTTTCGTTTCTACACGTCCTGTTGTGGTATTTCGTGGCGATGACACAATTCAGACATGTGACCCTTGGATTTTGTTGGTATACCTCTCCCATTGTGTAATAAGTATTCGAGTACTACGAATTTCACAATCATGTGATTTGGAGTGACGAGAATGCAGTACGTTAAGGGAGTGAGAGTATGGCATGTCCAACTTCCAAGTTGATTGCGTTATACATACGCCACAACGCAACGATAGGATAACAGAACTTATGCGCGATTTTTATCTGCCGTGCGTCGTCCTCTCGATAGTCTCGACTCTCGTCGGTCGCAGGCGACGTGAGCTGCGACGTAAATTAGGAGTAATCAGGAGTAGGCACGGCACGCAACTCAACGCAATGCAACGCAACGCAGCCATATACCTGATACATCTGATATACCTGATATATACCTACGCTACGGAAGACGGCAACAGGTGTGCGCGACCGGACGATTTGCGGCGTTGCAAGATACAACGGTGCTATTACGACTTACGACGGCGACGATCTCGTCTCGTCTCGTCTCGTCTCGTGTAATTTCCTGAGCATCGTGGGATTCGCGTCGAAGAGAACAAAATAGATGAGAGAAGACGCACGATCGTAGCTTAGCGCGACAAACGGGATCGCTTACCTTATTTACAAATTTTTCACAACGCACTGCACGCGCACGTACACCTTGAGAGACGGAAACAGGCAGAGAGCCGGGGAGAGGGAGGCACTCGATCCCGAGGCGACAGAAAACTAGCAGCGGAGCTACGTTCCGAACATGCTCGACCGCGAATACTCCGGCGACTAATCCGATGACCGATCGTAATCCCTGATCGACGCACCGTCGCTCACTCACCTGCTCCAGCCGCTCCAGTCGCTCCAGGTGCGCCGCAGGTAACGCGACGTGCCATTGGTTCAACGTTCAACGTTTACGAGACCGACATGGCGGTCGGACGTCGGACTCGTTCAAATCGGCAATCTTCGCCACGATGCTTCAGGATCGTACGATCTCTCGTATCTCGAATACTGCACGTCCAATTTCTCGTTATAAGTCTGCTACGTTTTCATCTCTTCAATTTTTATTTAGTTTTTTTTTTTATGAAAATGGAATAAACAGTATTTAATCGAATAACAGATATATCGATTTACACGTTAATCATGGCACAATCGTAGGCACTACAATCAAGTTGCACTGTATGCGCCATGAAAGACGAAGAAATCCGAAGACCGGTATCTCTTGAACCAATAGAACTACCTGTTATAAAGAGAGACTATAAAGAATGTGTAATTTGAGGAAAGGGAAACACCTGTTGAGAATGCAGTTTAATTGACCGGATTGGCTAAATGGCGGTCAATTTAACAATGCCGCGCGTACATAACAGATGCCATAACAACAAATCTTTTAATTATTTGTTCAATCAATAACAAATTATAGCATGTCATTATCACTTTGAGGGAAACGGCATTGCTATTGTGGGTCTAAGAAGAGTTTAGTAATCAACGTCGATCTCAAAAAAAAAAAAAAGAAAATTATCTCAATTTAAAATTTATAGGGATTTAAAAATTAAGAAATATTAACTCAATAAATTTGAAAATCTAAACGAATTGTAACAAGATTTTGTTACAATATCTAATTATCCATATTTGACTATTCATATAACTGGCAGTGGTACAAATATATTTTCATTTTTATACAAATAATTGTAGAAGCAAAAACATATGTTTGTACAAACAATTAAATTTACTGAATAAAAACAAGCATAATCGACTCGCATCGATTACTTTTTATTACTTTACCCACGAAAGAGAAAAGCAACAAATTTATGAAGAACTCCCAAATATTTTCATATACATATATTACTTTCGATACAATATTATTAATTCTTTTATTTCAGAATTAAAGAGATAAGATTAATTGATATTTTACAATAAAAACTAAGTGTCATTAATTGGAAATTCATCTATATATATATATATATATATATATATATTCATGTATCATTTTCATACTCTTTGGGATTTTTGCGAGAAAGAGCATGATTCTTCTCATTCGCCCAATTCACGAGCAAATAGGAAAACATGAAAACTGTAACAAAAAGAATAATTTAAAATATTAAATTCTAAAATAAATGATTCATTAAATATGCAATTACTAAATATACTTACAAGGTGCAATCTTAAATACACTGCCTTGGAAGCGACGAATTAAATTTGGTACACCTTCGGATATTAATCCTTTGAAGGCTTTTTGCTCGTATGGACTTAGACGATAGTAGACGATGCCATTAAGTTTGTAAAGGTTTCCAAAATCTTTCCCCATGTTGACTAAAGTCTAAAAAATACATATTTATTACAACTTTAACACATACTTAATGAACATAACCAATTTCATATAATTGTAACGAATATACTTCACAACGTCTTTCAATATTCCAAATTTACATTTCGAGAGTTTTAATAAAACATAAGACACAATGTCAAAAACATAAAATAATTATGTAACTTTCTTATACTAACAGCAATATCCAAGAGAAGAAAAGAGAAGTGTCTCTGATCTCAATCGCCGTGATACCTCTATGATCGATTCTCTTCACATTCCACAGCACACTTTTGTAAGACATGCCATCTGATGGTTAAACAGAGTATTACGTTATACTGTTGCATGTTGATACAAAAGTCTAGTTGTTTTCTGTGTTAAATTAATGGCCACAGCACAAACTCTAGCATAACGCATAATGTATAGTGCATAAAATTAACCAATCAAAATTTTTCTTTTCCATAGAACGGGAGGAAAGGAAAGATTCTGGAGGACGATTCTGTATTTTCAAACAAGATGAAAATTACAAAAGTGAGCAAATTTACTAGATGTTGACCAATGAAATTATTAGTATTCTAGTAAATTCGCTCACTTTTGTAATTTTCACCTCGTTTCAAGATGCAAAATAGATCTCCTAATTAGTTGATTCGTTTATGCACTATATATTGGGTCATCTAAAAAATATGTTGACCATCAACACCATCTAGTGACAAAAAACCACGGATACTTTTTAGATGACCCAATATTATGCAAGAGACTGTGCTGCGGCCTTAAAAACGGAAACACAGTGGCCCATATTCAGAACGCGCTTTTATCGATAAAAATTCTCTGAAATTTTATAGTATGCGTGACGTAAATTATAGCGCGCTAATATCGTTGTAAGCACGTTCTGAATACGGGCCAGTGAAAAGCATAGACAATAGATTTGTTTTTTATTGCTGCACTTTCTGAACTAATAGTATACAGTGCAGTAAGTTGAAGTGAAACAAATATATATTCTTGTAAGGGCTTTCGGTAAGGGCCATTCCACAAAAATTATCCAATCATATTTCTTTCATAAAGCAAACGTAAAATACGATTGGATGATTTTTTTATGCGTATAATTATGTGGCTATGCAAGTTTGTGTGGAATGGTCCTAAAATTGCAAAGAAGGGAAGAACCCGCTGATGATCTTGTCCTTGACATATATTGTCAAGATCATCACCCTGAGTAACATCCAACAAGTTTTAGCCGTCACTCGTTATTCGTTAAAAAGTTATTAACAAAAAAGTTTTGAAAAAAATAACGTCTATTTCGGCTATATACAATATATTGGGTCATCTAAAAAGTATCCGCGGTACTTTATCACTAGATATAGACCATCAACATACATCTAGTGACAAAAAACCGCGGATACTTTTTAGATGACCCAATATAATATCGGAAACTATTCTAAACTAAATATCCACCTATTGCATTCCACCTCTCTCATTATCTAGTAACGAGCGACTTTCCACGCGACACAAATTCACTGCTTTAACAAAAAATTTAGGTAAATATGTAATTTAGGAGAGGATTAAGGTTAGGTTATTATATACCAATACCAATTGGGTGTATAATAACCTAACCTTAATATAATAACCTAATCCTAACCAAAACATGTATTATAAGCCATATAAAGTAAAGCAGGAAAGAATTTTCTGTTCTAAGAACAAAAATTATATAAAAAAATATATAAATCGTGCGTCCTCAAGCAGGGGGGGAGTTAAGGTGGGAGTCGCTTTGCGAAAGTTGTAAATTATACTTTAAAGCAGAAAATTTTTGTTTTATATGATAGAAAAGAAATATTGTATACATTATTTCTTAAACATTTTTTTGTTAATAACATTTTAACAAAGGACGAGCGACGGCTAAAATTTGTTGGAGGTTACTCAGGGTGACGACCTTGACAACATCAACAAGGTCAAGGTCGTTGGCAGGTGCTCTCCTTTTCTGCAGTTTTACCTTCGTTTCTCATTAGATAAGTCAACATAATTAAAGCGTAGGTAATATCAATGAAGTGTGCTACGATTTTGGGAAAGCACATTTAAGCTATTTCATGTATAAGAAAATATAGTAAGAAAATATATAAATAAATATTGTTCTTTCGTCACATTAAATGTCTATTTCTTATTTTGCGGTTATGAAAAAAACGCGTCATACGATACTAAGCGTCGTGGGATGTACAACGATGGCACGCATTTGAACGCATTTTCGTCGCACATATAGATCGTTGACAAAAATATGAAATCTACGACCTGCGTGACCTACGTCTCTTTCTCTCTCGTCAATCTAATATAAATTGACGCTGATCGACGCTGCGCACACGTAAAACAGTTGATTATCTCTTTCCCCGTGAGCGCGCAGCCTACGATATATTAAGTCGGTTCTACATCCCTGACAGCACAAAGTCGACTTTGAGTCGACTATAGCTTCTAGACGTCTGAAAAATGGACGTCCGTAGTCGATTTTAGACGACTTGGAGACGTTTCTAAGTCATATAATATCCCACTTTAAAGACGACTGTAAGCCGACTTTAAGTCACCATCTAGATTGTGGTCCGATTCATGCCCACAACGCTCATGAACAGCATTCATCCTTGTTCAACTATAGTTAAACACAAGGACAAAATGATTCCACATTTAAGCTTTGTAAACGTAAATCGCACTAGACATCCTAAAGTCGACATTGGAAGGACATCTGTACAAAATAGACTTACAGTCGGCTCTAAAGGCCTGATTTAACAAAGTCAACTTATAATCGACATATCGACGTTTGTGCTGTTAGGGATATTAGTTGCAAGCCGATCGTAAGTTTGTTGCGACAGCTAATATGAAGCGTTGATTTTAAAATGCAAGTTTCAGATTGGCTATCGCAATTTGCAATCGGCTTGCAACTAATCGCCTTTATGTAATCATTGTCGCGAAGCGAAAAATAACGCATCACGAATCACGAATCTTCTTTCTGATGCTCGCCACCCGCATAATCCGCGATTCGCGCAAGTTCCCGGGGTCACGTGACGCTCAGCAAGAATAGCGAGATTGCGTACTGAGATCTGTTCTTTCTAGCTCGACTAGCGTATGTACACTCGTTAAATTATTTAAAATGAAATAGATATACGTATAAAGTTTAGTGAAAAAACGAAAAGGTAAATTTGAATATAATCTAGTGCAACGAGAAAGGGGCTCCGCACAATAAAAGGTACAGGGAACCGAGAATAAAGAATAAGAATTTCAACCTACAATATATAGAAACTGTGTATTCCACAATACACGATAGGTTGAAGTTCTTAGGCCGGGTTCACACCTTGACGGAAAAGCGGAAGCCAATCAGAACTCGCGAAAAGAGACAGAAGCAGACAAGCGAAAAGTATCTACTACTACTGAATCCGGCCTTATTTCTCTGTTCTCCTTTTATTATGCGAAGCCCCAAAGAACAGCAATGGCAAGCAATGACAAGATGAATGGCTTATGATGTGGAGGGGATGCGCGACGGCGCAACGCTGGCAATGCAGCTACGCAGGTGCCTTCTCTGATCTTTCCGTGGCGTAGAGTACGTTGGAGTATGCGCGTTCCCTCTACTCGATTTTCTGATGTGTGACTCGTCTGCAATGTGGCATCTCTGCGATCAGCCACAATTGCCACACAAAGCGGACAAATCTGTGAAATCGACGACGAAACGAATCTTATGACTCGTCCACCACTCGTCCGCCGATGGCGCAGTCGTCGAGCCGTTCCTCAAGTACACTGTTAACGCTGTACGAGTGCGACAGGTCAGGCTGCATTGGGCTGCGTAGCAGAGTAGGGGAGGGATAAGCGATGTGAGCGTGAGCGTGAGCGCAACACGAAGAAGCTAGGAGTAGAGGACTGAGGAGAGGAGGTAATCAGCAGTCGCGGTGAGCGGTGAGTCGTGTGTGTCGTGTGAGTCGTGTGAGTCTTCACGTAACGTCGATGCTGCATCCGCGTGATTCGCGCGTCGTTTATTGTCAAGCAGCAGTAGCAGCAGTAGCAGCAGTAGCAGCAGCAGCAGCAACAGCAGTAACAACAACGACAACGATAGGAGCACTGACGTCGAGGAACATGATCGATCCGGGAACTCGTGGCAATGTGCTTGTGCGATTAATTCGGGTCGAGTAGCGACGTGAGACGACGTCCTACTCGTGGTGCCTGGCGCCGAGGCTTTCGCTCGAATTTTAAGTGCGTGCATGCTAGCCAACGCGTGACGCGTCGGAAGTAGCCACAAGTACCGTGCCTCCGAAATCCGAATCATGGGCTCGAGAAGCCTTGAGAATCGTCCCTGTGGAAATGGGAATCAACCACGTTGTGCCCAAGATGTGGCTTGCGACCGCACCGAGACCGACTTTGAGTTCACGGTGCCGCCGGAAGCACCGGTGTTTGAGCCGACCAACGAGGAGTTCCACGACCCCCTCGCCTACATCGCCAAGATACGACCGATCGCCGAGAGGTCCGGCATCTGCAAGATTAAACCGCCACCCGTGAGTAGCACAGTTCGACCAGTCAACGGACACATGTCAGCGAATCCTATGCGCGTCATCTCTTTGAAACATTGCCCTCCGTGTCATCATCGACATTATCGTTGACGACGTTGACGTCGACGTCGACAGGATCCTTCCGCTTTCTTTTCTCATGCAACCCAAAAGAAAAGGCACACATCCTCGAGTGAGGAGTGTGCGACCTCGTTTTTGTGTACTACGATGCATTTTTTAAATACCATCTCTCTCATTCTCTATCCTTCTCTCTCGACGACGATTACATTACATTGACGACAGCGACGAGAACGAGAAAGAAGGTCCAATAGTACGAATCTTCCTCGCGATTTCATAAATTCGCACGCCGTTTTTTCCACGGAGTCTCCATGTTTCCTCCTCCGTTTGTGAAATGTAACAACCGTATCACGCGTTACGTTGGCGAAAACTGCGAGAAGGGAAAAGAAAACTGGGAAAAAGAATAGATGCCAGAGATTAAACAAAGTGAGAGGAAAAGAATCTTGTCTCCATTCGTCGATACTTTTCGAAAATTACCAATGACATCGATGACAACGACGATATATCAATAAAACAATAATGGAAACATCGATACAAATGATCGGTCCACGTTAAATTATGATAACTGCGATCGGTGCGACGACCGCCATGTAAAATGGCCGAGACAATAGAGGTGACACGATGGTCACCTTGTCCGGAAAATCGGGAGAAAAAGGATAATCGCAAGATTTGTTTTTTCGATTCTATTAGGCAAAAGATTTCGCGACGTCGACGCGATCCCGTTATTCTTGCGCAAGTAACGAATGCGCTTTCCGAATGTGACGAATGAACTCTCGTCGTCGTACCCATCTCATCTTTCACACCCTTCGAAGTGAGTCTTGTTCGAAAGTGCGTCTCGAAAATCATCGGACCTCGACAAAATTGTAGAAGTCTTCATCAAGGGCGTGTTCCCGTGTTCCAAGGGAATCTCATCACTGGGCTCGTTGCAGACCGCTGCATGACATAATTTTTTTCCGCGCTATCGTCACCTTTCACTCGGCGAGCTCTCGACCATAGCAGGGCTCTCCCGTGTGATTCGGTTCTATTTGCCAACGCGAAACTTTTCGCGATCTTCCCACCTGTGAGCGTCGTTTGGTCGTTTCCCGAGAACGACGACTTGGACGACTTCGTCGTTCGTTCATCGCACGTCGTTGGTTTTATGCCACCATTAGAAACGATTTACGCCACCATCTTGTTTCCGTATGTAAAGAGAAAAAACTCCAATGACGCCGGAAATCATGACTTTTCTTCCTGAAAGTGTGGGTGGAACGAATATTGGGACAGATTCGCGAATGTTTTTTGGCTCACGTAATCGACGCTAAACCGGATACATGACCAATGTAGAAATGTCATCGACGAGATTTCGCGATATAGGTGTTCGAGAATGTCTTCTAAAAAAAAATGCGTAGACATTTATCTAATGACAATTGCTGAACCACTTATGAGCGTAGCGATCGTATCCGACTTACATACTTGAAGGCTATAATTTCATGTTTTTGCGTTTTATTTTTCCTAAAATACTTTTAAAGTACTTTTCTCTCCCGAAAGAAATAGTTGTACTCATCCGAGAGATCTACTCGTCTTTCGACTGCACTGCTTCGCGTCACAATTTTCAGCACATCGAGATAATGGTAATCTCTAATAACCATAGAGATCGCGACCAATTCTCAGAGAAAACATTACCGTGCGAAGGTGAAACGATAACGCATTTGCGATTATGTTCGCGTCATTCTCTTCGGACAGGTATAAGCCTGCCCGTCAAAAGCGTCAAGGCGCGCCACAAACTCTCAAGTAATTATTGATTTTTACCTACGCTGACTAATCGATACCTAATAATTGGTCCGGCTGTAGCTGATTGTTTATTCTCTCTCCTCTTCTCCCTCCTTTATCTTTATTTACTAAAAGAAATTTATTCTATAAGCAGTCTCTCTCCGTAACGTTTTGTTCCCCGATCAATTTTCGAGCGACAGTGCATAATTTACGATACAATACGCATTGTTTTTTTTTTATCTAATCATTTTCAACATATCATATCAGAAGGAAAGCTGTTTTGTTTATTCTTCTAGTACTTACCTGGAATTTATGTGAAAAAGTGTAATGTGATGTGGAAATTTGTCAAAGACAGTGCGCAATGTCAGCTAATTTTCGAGTAATCTTTATCAGTAGTAACGTTCTATATTGATAAAAACTAGACAAGCAAATATAGTAGAATTCATTAATCTTGTATTTAATTTAAAAAAAATTCATTTTTCGAGTTTTGTTTCATCCCGCAACAAAGCTGTTTTTTTAAAATCCTTTTAAAATGAATTTTCAAATATTCCGATCACAAACGTCGCTTTTGTCGCTCGAGAGAAGTACATGGAATGTACATGGAATCGATGTACTCTCGACATTTTGCAAAAACGAGCCGGAAATAACGAGGTAAACTGCTGCGGCAAGTTTACCTTCGATTTGCTTCGAAATTTTCAAAGCGCGATCATTGAAAATCCGATGAGGCTGTAGTGAAGCGTAAATTTATCAAAAATCTTGTCATTCGCGAATTCTTCCAAAGAGAATCAATAAAAGAATGATATTTATGGCGTCACGAGTTGGGGGCGAGGCTCTCGGGGTGACCGCGTCGTATCTAGAATACGTATACATAATGTGTACTTGATACTCGAAATACCTCCGTGTATCCTGATATTTGTGCATTGTAAGACTAAATTTAAAAAATATAAAATCATTTTTTCCATTGATCTAATACATGTATATGGTACAATTGTTGAGTGTACAAAAATTTAGCTGTGTATAATCCTAATTCAAGATTTCTTTTAAATTTATCCGTATTTGCTCATATTTCATTTGCTTCCGGATTATTATAATTCGTTAAATCATCATCTTTTCCAGATACAAGGAATATATAAATTTGTCTATTCTACGCATCACGATAAATGTGCGCGTCGGAATTCTGCTTTCCGAGAATTTTCTGCTCTCTCTATTTAATTTTCGTTAAAATCAACTTGCTTCGGTATTGCGCGCGATAGAAGAGCACAATGATACATTCAATGAGAAGACCTTAATACTTTCTAGAGAGCTGATATTTCCCCAAGAGCATGCCGCCATTACGGAAGTTGTGTCGTAGGAAGTGCGCGACGTTACACACGGGCGTTGGACGCTCGTAAAACGTATTGCTTGATTAATGAACTTTACGATTATTAGCATTTCAACACGGCGTTAAATAAAATTAAATTATGGATTATACTTTGGATTATACTTTGTTGCGATATTAAAATATCGCCGCGCATACAATGTTTGCTGGATGGAACCGCATATTAATATTATCTAATATATCATCTAATTGTAAATTCTTCTCAGATCGACTTTTTTTTTTTCTAACTCTATTCAAGTATTTGAGTCCTCGTAACACTTCAGTATAATTCATTTGGCTCTATTAAAATTATATAATTTGATGAATCTAATCTTTTTATAAACAATGCAGTATAAATCATTGGCGGTAGAATAAAAAAAATTTATAAAAATGTATTCATTAATTAAAGCTACGTATCACACGCACGAGATTTGTATGTCTCATTTTTTACGTTTTTTTAAATCAAATCATCTTTGTGCTCATCACATAAGCAAGCTTTCAGAGCGTTTATTGATTATTTTAATTATTTTAGAACATAATTTACACATGGGAGAGTTTATATATAGAACATATAGATGTATATTTAGAGACACGATTGTTACATTGTTATGTAGAGTATATTATGAGATATTGATTAATCATACATATAAATATCTCAATAGAAAAAATTTAGATTTTGCTGCACTGACTGAGCCATATGAAGAATCTCAAGTTCATTGTATAAAATACAAATAACAATGCGATTGTTATTTTATAGATAAAATATCTATATATATATATATATATATATATATATATAATGTGTGTGTATTTAATTAGAGATTTCCTGCGAATCATTTTATATCATAATATAATATTACATTCATGCCGGTAAAATACGTGGCTAGAGTTTATCAGATCCCAATGAAAGATAAAATCTACACGCTGACATTTTCATTCCAAATTTAATCTGATGTGTATATTGTACGTATCTAAGAAGGCAAAGTTTGTTGAAAACTTAATTATCTTCTTACCCTTGCTATCGAACGTTAGTTATATTACAGCAAAGGGCCACGTATACTAGCTGCGCCTCTAGTTACGACCCGAAGTAGTACCGGATCTTCAACTCCTTGAATAAGTAATATCCGTTGTCGATGTGAAGAACGTATATAACCATCCATCGACTGAAATCGAGAATACTTTTCAGAACTTGAATTTTATATATAGAAATGTAAGAGAAAGGAACGAGGAAAGGACAAAACCGAGAATTTTTTTCCTTTATCCTCGTCAATATAAAATTATTTAATCAAATTTCTTTGATATTTATAAAGTATTATATGGCTTGTTACAGAACTGGCAGCCACCATTTGCCGTGGACGTAGACAAGTTCAAATTTGTTCCGAGAATACAAAGGTTAAATGAATTAGAAGCCAAAACCAGGATAAAGCTTAATTTTTTAGATCAAATTGCAAAGTTTTGGGAGCTTCAAGGTTCCTCCTTGAAAATTCCGCTTGTGGAACGTAAGGCTCTGGACTTGTATTCCTTACACAAAATAGTCACGGACGAAGGTAAGTTTTATTTATACATATTTTATTTATTCCGCACTTTATACTTAATTTTTTTATATTTAATTTCTACGTGTTATTTATAGGCGGTATAGAAACTGTGACTAAGGAAAGAAGATGGGCAAAAATTGCCAATAAACTGGGTTATCCATCTGGACGAAGTGTAGGCAGCATATTGAAGAATCACTATGAAAGAATTTTATATCCCTTTGACGTTTTTAAGCAAGGAAAGACATTGTCAGATATTGTAAGTCAAATTTTCGTCTGCAAGAAATTATTCATTACGATGCCAATTTTGAAATTCTTATGAAATTAATTATTTGTAATTTGTTTAACCTAGTATAATATATATATATATATATATATATATATAGTATATGTATATATAAATTATGCAATTATTTTCGTTAATTATAAACTATCCTCTTGTTATAGAAAATTGAACCGGACTCGGATGTTAATGAGAAGAAAGATCGTGATTATAAGCCACATGGTATAATATCTCGGCAGCAAATTAAACCACCGAATGAAAAATTTTCGCGACGGTCTAAGCGATTTTCCGGGCAAGAAGAGAAGCAAGATATATCGATTAAACAGGAAGATTGCAAGGAGGAATGTGACTCGGACAATGAGTGCAAGGACAAGATTAAGAGCAGATATTTCAGTAGCGATGTGGATAAAAGCAAAGAACTTAAAAAATTACAATTTTACGGACCAGGCCCGAAAATGGCCGGCTTTAATACCAAAGAGGGAAAAAAATCTAATAAAACGCGTGGCTTGAAACTCGTTTACGACTTTGATCCTGTAAGTTTACAATTTGGCCCTCTCCATATACTACAATATTTTACAATGAAAAAAATATAATATAATTAAATAATTAATTTAATTGTATCATCTTTTCTTTTATTCTCATTTAGTTGGCAAAATATATTTGTCACAATTGCGGGAGAGGCGACAATGAAGAAAATATGTTGTTATGTGACGGATGTGATGACAGCTATCATACGTTTTGCCTTATGCCACCATTGACGGAAATACCAAAGGGAGACTGGCGATGTCCCAAATGCGTTGCCGAAGAGGTCTCGAAGCCAATGGAGGCATTTGGTTTCGAACAAGCGCAGAGAGAATACACGCTGCAGCAATTCGGAGAAATGGCCGATCAATTCAAGAGCGACTACTTTAATATGCCTGTGCATGTAAGTCATTGCTAGCCGTTATGAGAGAAATATATATATATATATATATATACACACATACATACATGTGTGTGTGTGTGTGTGTGTGTGTGTGTGTGTGTGTGTGTGTGTGTTTTATTTTATCTTCATTATACATTTAATAATTTTTTTTCTTTGTAGATGGTTCCAACATCACTAGTGGAAAAGGAGTTTTGGCGAATAGTCTCGTCCATTGATGAAGACGTGACTGTAGAATACGGTGCCGATTTGCATACAATGGATCATGGATCTGGATTTCCAACCAAAACCAGCGTTAATTTATTCACTTGTGATCAAGAGTATGCTGAATCTTCGTGGAATTTGAATAATTTGCCAGTTCTACATGGAAGCGTTCTGGGTCACATCAATGCTGACATTAGTGGCATGAAAGTTCCTTGGATGTATGTCGGCATGTGCTTCGCAACATTTTGTTGGCACAATGAAGATCATTGGAGCTATTCTATTAATTATCTACATTGGGGCGAACCAAAGACATGGTATGGAGTACCAGGTTCTCAGGCGGAACGCTTCGAACAATCCATGAAGTCCGCCGCTCCAGAACTGTTTCATAGCCAGCCCGATTTGTTGCATCAACTTGTTACTATCATGAATCCAAACATATTGACAAGTGAAGGTATAAGATTTCTACATATAATTAAAATTGTAATAAAATAAAAGAATGTGTTGTTTTTTTTTTCGTAAAAAAGACAAGATTAAAATATTTAGGATTTATTTCTAATTCACACTATTTGATATTTATCTAACGTGCGCAACTGCATTTTCTAAGTTTATAATTGATATAATTTTATAATTATTTATATAATTATAATTATTTATTATTATAACAGGAGTACCAGTATTTAGGACAGATCAACATGCAGGTGAATTTGTCGTGACATTTCCGAGAGCATACCACGCAGGCTTTAATCAGGGTTACAATTTTGCAGAAGCTGTCAATTTTGCACCTGCAGATTGGGTATATAAATTATAATATATTCGAGTTCGTTCAAGTACGAATAAAATAAAGGCAATTGAAATATTAGAACATTCAACAATTCAAATTCATAAACATTAATAACAATAAGGGCTACGAGTCAGATTTCAATATATGTATTTAAATTTGAAACAGACATTTCGACCTTATCGTCAGATTATCTTCAATGTACATACTGAAGATGACCTGACGATAAGGTTGAAACGTCTGTTTAAATAATATTGGGTGGATCCATATATTCGTTCGGTTTTTGAAGGTAAAATGAAACAAGTTTTTTTCATACAAAGAATGAATTTTAATCAATGATATGATTCTCCGTTTTTGCACTACTAACAAAAACCGAACGAATATATGGATCCACCCAATATATTGAAATCTGACTCATAGCCCTTATTGTTATTAATGTTTATTTATTATTATTGAGTCATTATATTAGTTTTTATTTAAATTCAAATTATACTTTACATATACAGGATGTCCTAAAATAATCGTCAAATATTTCAATATTTGGGCAAGTAGAGCAGACTAAACTGAGTCGAAAAGTTCTCTACTATTTTGCAATTTTCGCAATAGTTAACAAAATATTAATTACTAAAAATTGCCGAAAATTGATCTTCAATAAATTTTTACTCAAATACTATCAATCTTACAGAAAAATTGCAAGAGAAAAATTATTTATTTTCGTCTCATAGAACTTTAAGAATTTTTTCAGAATTTTTTAATACGATATTTTCTGTTGGTAAAAATAAGAAAATGTACACACAGTATTAAAAAGTTAATAAAAAATTCTGAAAAAATTCTTAGAAGAAAATAAACTCTCTCTCTCTGTCAGAAGAAAATAAACAATTTTTCTGTAAAATTGATAGTATTTGAGTAAAAAATTATTGAAGATCAATTTTCGGCAATTTTTAGTAATTAATATTTTGTTAAATATTGCGAAAATTGCAAAATGGCAAATGGAAGACTTTTCGACTCAATTTAGTCCGCTCTATCTGCCTATAAAATATTTGGCGATTATTTTGAGACACCCTGTACATCACAATTAATATACAAATTATACAAGTACACTGTAAATTGTTTCTTTTGTATCAGCTTAAGATTGGACGAGATTGCATCACGCATTATTCAAATTTAAGAAGATTCTGCGTGTTTTCCCACGATGAACTAGTTTGTAAAATGTCGTTGGATCCAGATTCGTTAGATATCGGAGTCGCAACTGCCACGTATCACGATATGTTGCAAATGGTGGAGGATGAGAAAAAATTACGGAAAAACTTGCTAGAATGGGTAAGAGTTATATAATTTATACAGCAATATTTAATACATTACATTTCTAAATATAAAAACTCGTAGTATTTTATGACACAATCTTTTAATGAAAATTTATTATATTTGTTATCTTTGAATATTTAATATCTTTTTAATATCAAAATTGTTTTACAATAAACCCCTGAAATTTTATATTTTTATTCTTTAACTGCTACTATTGTTGCTGAACATAACAATATAATTTATTTGTTGATTCAAAACGTAAATAAAATATTCTATTCTTCATGATTTAATGAAAAAAATATTTCATATTCCATATTTAATGTAAATGTAACATTAATTCTATGGCTTGAATATATATAAAAGTTAGTTTTTTGCGCTGAAAATCAATAGAATCAATAGAATCTACGCTGAAAACTCTGGGATATGAATACGATCTTGTTTCTAAGGAATAAACTCTAACGTGTGAATACTGGCAATACTGTTTTGTCGTGAAAGGTCAATATATTTAGGCCAAGTAGTACGTTATGTGCCAAGAGCGCGCGCACGCGCCACTACACGTGAATACACAGACGCACACGCGGACGCGACGCGACGCGACGCGACGCGACCGCGGCAAAATTCGTATATACACGCACCGTGCGGCTGCGGCTGCGGCTTGCCCCTCGCTCTAACCGCCAACCCCGCCAACTATTCAGAGCTGGCATTGCTATTGGACCGCCTGTCCACGTTAGATACGTAATTAATGTCGCCACGTATTTTCATTATTGCTGATTTCGTCGAACCTGCTGTTATCGTTGTTGCATTCTCGAGAGTCGCAGTCGTGGCGCTTGGCCTTGACTGACTGATGCTTATTTGTTCCGCCTTTATTCCAGTTATGTAACTTACATATAGGTGAGTAAAAAGGTTATGTTTTCCAAGTCTTGTGTGCCATGATGCTAAACGCGCAACTTAGTTTCTCGCGTCTGTTTCGTACAACTTGCTAGAAGCACGTGTTTGTGCGCCATATCCTTGAAGCAGAACGTTGCAGAGCGTTATGTTTGTGTTTCTTCTGGAATGGATACGTGTCCATACGTGTGCGTCTCGGTGAAATACGATTTTCAAAGCAATATTTCTTTTAACGTATTATCTGCGCGTCAATTGTTTCGTTGAAAAATTGCTAAAGCATAATGAGATAGATTTATCGTATTTGTGTGTGAATTTGGATAACTTGTTCTGTTCAGGGCGTGACTGAGGCAGAACGCGAGGCTTTCGAGCTTCTACCGGATGACGAGAGACAGTGCGAAGCATGCAAAACTACCTGTTTTTTGAGTGCAGTTACATGTTCGTGCCACAGCTCGCAGTTAGTTTGTCTGAGGCACTTTGCTGATTTGTGTACGTGTCCACCAGAAAAGCATACGCTGCGTTATCGATATACGTTAGACGAATTACCTATCATGTTGCAAAAATTAAAATTGAAAGCCGAGTCGTTTGATTCATGGGTGGCCAAAGTGAGAGAAGCGATGGATCCTAAGAACGATAAAATTGAATTAAACGAGTTGAAAGAACTTCTGAATGAAGCTGAGAACAAAAAATTCCCCGAAAGTGAACTATTGACGGCTTTAACAACCGCTGTGCAAGATGCTGAGAAATGCGCAAGCGTTGCACAACAGCTATTAAACAATAAACAACGTACAAGGTTGGTAAAGATTTTATTGCGATATTTTGTATCGTGAGTATTACTATTTGCTTTCACAAAATTCTTATTTTTATAGAACCAGGCAGACAGTTGATACCAAGTATAAACTCACTGTAGAAGAATTAACACTTTTTTACAAAGAAATAACCAATCTATGCTGTGAACTTAAGGAATCAGATGGTGTAAAATTTATACTTGATCAAGTATTACAATTTCAAAAGGATGCAGAAGAATTGGAGTCCAAAGAAGATTGCGACATTGAGAAATTAGAGAAATGCATTGATTTTGGTGATTCTATCTGCATTGAATTACCTCAACTAGTACGATTGAAACAAGTATGTAATCATATATAGATATACATTTAATTTTTTTCATCAGATATTTTGTTTTAATAAAATCTATTTTATTTTACAGAAATTGACACAAATACAGTGGCTAGATGAAGTAAAATCTCTTCAAGATGATCCGAAATCTGTTAGTCGTGAAGAGATGATTAAGTTAATCGAAAAAGGCATGACAATACCACCTCATGTCAGTGTTGAAAATACATTGTCAGAATTGCACGCGTTAACAAAGGCAATCGATAAGTGGGAAGAGAAGGCCAAAGTGTTTCTTAACACCAAAAATAGACGAACCATTGCAGCTGTAGAGGAGTTTATTCACGAAGCAGATAAAGTTGAAGCGTATTTACCGAGTTTGGATACTCTTCAAGATATATTGAACAAAGCAAAGAATTGGACGAAATTGTTTGATGATATACGAGCGAGAGAAAACTTTCCTTATTACGATACATTGGATGACTTGTTAAGAAAGGGAAGAAATATCCCTTTGCATCTAAATGATCTTCCAACGTTGGAATCTACTCTCTTGGAGGCGAAAACATGGAAAGAAAGGACCGCGAGAACTTTTTTGAGGAAAAATTCGCACTATACGCTAATGGAAGCTCTGTCGCCGCGAATCGGCGTCGGTGTACAGGCAATGAAAACTAAAAAGAACAAGGGCGACGAATCCATAGGTGCCGTTTGTGTTTGTGATACAAAATTGGACGACTCCAGCGACTCGGCGAACGTGGTAGCTGCCTTCAAACTTGCAGAACAACGCGAAATGGAAGCGATGAGAAGCTTGAGAGAAAGAAATTTAATGAAGATGAAAGCAGAAGCGGAAGATTCCAAGTATTGTGTTTGTCGGCGGCCGAGATTCGGCATTATGCTTCAGTGCGAGCTTTGCAAGGATTGGTTTCACAGTAAGTACAACAATTTAAATAAAAAACTAGCTAAATATTATTATCTAATTGTATATGAATTTTTATTTCACAGCAAACTGTGTACCTTTGTCTAAGACACTGTACAAAGGTAAATCGCCAGGACCGAAGGATATGAAATTTTTATGTCCATGCTGTCAACGTTCTCGACGACCTCGTCTGGAAACTATATTGGCTCTCTTAGTGAGTCTTCAAAAAATTCCGATCCGATTGCCGGAGGGAGAAGCGTTACAGTGCTTAACTGAACGTGCGATGAATTGGCAGGTAGATATTCTCATCAAATATGATCTTTCTCATTGTCTAAACAAACCATGTCTTTAGCTAAACATATGTTGATTAGGATCGAGCGAGAAAAGCATTGTCTACCGACGAAGTTTCATCGATACTGACAAAACTTTCTGTAATGTCGCAAAAGTTAGTGGAAGCTGCGGCAAGGGAGAAAACGGAAAAAATTATCAGCAGCGAATTGAAAAAGGCAGCGAATAATCCTGAACTGCATCAAAGAGTGCAAGCTATCGCGCCCCTCAGCGGAGTACATTCAGATGATAGCACGCCTAGTACTGCTGTGAGTATCGTGATATGAGTTACAATAAATCTATCCATTACAAACAATTGTTTATATAATAATTTATTTATAAATAATAAAGCAAAATATATATACATGAATATTTTTAATACTTTAGGATGACGATGACGATGTTATTACTCTGGATGATGAACCAACATGTAGTACTTTCAATAGTAACGAACACGCATATTCATACAGTAAGTTTCTCAAATTGCGATATGAAATATAAGCATTATGTTGAAAATATTTAATCAATAGATAATTATATTTTGTATTATTTCAGTCTCGAAAATTCGGCGGAAAACTCAATTGAGTGATAATGAATCATTCGGCACATTATCTTCAAGCACGAGATCACGTTTGGAAGAACTTATGATGGAAGGTGACCTATTAGAAGTTGCCTTAGACGAAACACAACACATTTGGCGTATATTGAGTTACATGAATAGCCACAATACCATGCGGAAATACAAATCGCTTGAGGAAGTTCAAGCAAATCAGGAGATGAAAGATGTGAAGAAACGGGGTAGAAAGAGGAAATCGGAGGAGTTTGAATTACATAAGAAAGTTGGACGTCAAAAAGTTGAAGAGAAAAACGTAATTAAACGTAGCAAAAGCAGCGGCCCTATCACTAAGGAGAAGAGGCAGAGCAGTTCACCAGTTCCTATGAAACGTGGACCTCGAAAGGTACTTAATTCTTCGATAACAATCATGTCTCGAATTAAATCTTTTGTATTAATAAAAATATTCATTTTATTAGAAATAAATTAAATTTACATTTCAAAATATATTCATGATGAGATTATTTAATTATAGGTCTATTTTATTAAACAATAAATTGATTATTTGTAAGAAGTTTGAATTCGAGACATTTTTTAATGACTTTGGCAATCGATAACTTATAGTTCCGCGAACATTGAACAGCTCAATTTCAGTTAATTATGAATTGCAGATGAAACGCAAAAGTGAAGGTGAGGAAAGCCCTAGAAAGCGAGGTGGTAATCGCACAAAGAAGACTAAGCAAGAAAGTTCGGATGAGGAGGATGATTGCGCAGCGGTTAACTGCTTACGGCCTAGTGGTAAGGATATTGTCTACAATATATTCGCAACATGGTTTTAATGATACCTTCTAAACGTTATAAATGTTTTCTCTTCACACACACACACACACACACACACACACACACACACACACACACACACACAAACACATATATGATGCATATATAAAATATTTATATGTCGTGCTATATACAATGGATAATGTCAATAATAAACATTATATTCCCAATAATCGTGTAAATAAATTTTTTGATCACATAGTATATGTCAAATATGTTATATGAATTATTTTTGTGTATATAATTTGATTTGAGAATATTTTGATTATACCCTCATTTATTTCTTAAATTATACTTTTATTTTGTCTATATTTCAGCACGTATTTATTTTATTTGTTATTTAGGTAAGGAAGTTGATTGGGTTCAGTGTGATGGTGGCTGCGAAGGTTGGTTCCATATGCATTGTGTCGGATTGGATCGTACAGAAATTGCGGAGGAAGATGATTATATTTGTAGCAACTGTAAAGAAGCCGATCAAAGTGCATCGGTAAGGAAAAAAGTGTTCGGAAAAACATAATGTATATCGTTTTTTCTCCTTTTTTAATTTTGTAAAATTCACAAGAACATGTACATTGTCGGATTCTGTATATTATCATCATATACATCGGCCACATTTTACATTTTGTTTTATATAATAAATATGCATGCGAACATATGTAAACATCCCACATCGTGAAATTTAATTCGACAAGATTTCACTTTTCCGCCTTTGTTACATTTGTTTCGTTATATATTCGACTATAGTTTTTTAAAAGAGGCAGTCTTTTTTTTTGTGTTGAACATAGTCGAGATCCGCGCCAGATTCAGTTGAATCATTAGGCCTGGATGCACTTTTTTCCCTTTCTCAGTCCCAGGAGTACCATGGCAGTACCACTGACACGGAAGCTGGTGTCTAGGAAAACGACATTCCTCGTCCTAGGATTCACTAGCCCACTTCGTGTCGTCTGCTAGCTCCGCACGAGGCTCCGGGGCGATAATAACGACTCTCGATTTATCAACTCGCGATGCAAAGTTAATAATTAATAGTTGTTTTTTTTTTATCAAATTACTACAAATCGTACATTATTCGAGCATAATTTATGAGCGAACAAGCGAATGAGCGAACTTAAGATGCAAAGTATTATAGCATAATCGCGCGAGACTTATGATACAGCGATCTTACATTGATAAACATTTCTTTATCAACATTTCTTTATGGCTTCATATGTATTTGCTAAAATATTTTTAAATCCTAAAAGCATCGCTAGTCATCTACGTTTATCTATACTTATGAAATTTCTGTTTACAAGTAGAAACAACACTGCACAATGCATATTAAAAAATTATTTTTGTGCTTCCACACACATGCGCGCGCGCGCGCATCTTCAAATTCAATTGAACGAAGATATGAATGCCCATTTTATCTTAATACGCACGATTATGAAAGTATTCGTCTATATTTCATCTGTGTTATTTTGTTAGATTGTTATTTTGTGAAAAATAAAATAAATTGTAGATTTCATTTCATATAGACAGCGGACGAATCACGGATGAACCGTGATGTACGCCTTTATAATTATATAATCGATTTAATCCGAAAAAGAATATTAATTCCATTTTTTGAATTTTGTATCGCGCCTTTCTCTGTGAACAATACAAAGTAGTTTCTACGCGAGATGATTAATTATTTATAATTACGGGATTGCATCATTTGCAGCAACTTTAAATACACGGTCTATAACGTGTTACCTTAACTATTAAGATTGGTATACCTTGAAATAAGGGGTACATTACAAATTGATCCAAACAACGATGATGTTATGCTGCGAAATATTCTCAGTACAGCGATGATTGCAACCAGTCGTTTCCGAAATACATTGTTGCGTACTGTTGCGTATCATTGAGGCGAGATGTCCGTCGATCTTTTGTATCGGCTTTTAGAACATCTATTGGATGCACAAAGCGACAAGCGAGGATTTCTTTTACGCCGATCGTATGTACAGAATAGACTGAGAGATGTGTGTACTACAATTAAATTAGATTGTATACATATAGGGTATTAGAATATATCAGATTATAGAATAAACGTAAGCTATAGTTTGTATAAAATAAAAGGAAACGATTGAGACAAGCAGATAAATTAGCATATCTACTCTGCCTTCCCGAAATAATAATCTGTAAATATTCGCTGTTTTTGCACCAGAGGCTATATAACTCTTATTGCGTTTATTATACTTCTCATCATAAGTCTATGATTCTGTTCATCTTATATCTTTTTATCTTTGTTATTTTTTTAGAAGGGAATGTGTTTCCCAAAACTCCTAATCTAATTACAATAGCTGTATCTTATAATGCTCCTTTTAATTTCAATTGACAAAAATAATCATCATTTTTCGTGTAAATATTGCTTACGTAATATCTACATGAACTAAACTTATAATTGATATAATATATAATTAATTATTTTATAATATATAATTAATTCTTTTATGCTATCATTTATTATATAAAAATAAATAATATTATTTTGATTTTTCTTAAGTCTCTTTAATTGTCAAAGTTGAGAGATTATACTGTTAAATACAACACTTATGTATTATATCATACACAATGTGGTAAAATTATGCTTGTATTTCAAAGAGAGTATATAATCAAATAATATTAAGAAGATACGTTAATAGATTGCGAGATTTATTAGAGAAGTAATTTTATGAAGAACGTTGATTTTTGCGATAAGTCTTTAACATTTTCCACTAAGAATGTTATTCTTCTATAGTAGAATGTCTTACTTAAATTAATATTGAATATTTGAATAAATGTTGATTCTAATACGAATTTGAAATTTACTCTAATCTTTTTAATTATTATTTAAAAAATTTGTGTTGCTTAATATTATGTAATCCATTCAATGCGAAATGTGCGCGGAACGCAGAGTGTACAGAAAAACTTTTATTTTAGGCCAAATCGCAAATAAAAATCGTGGATAAGTCCGAGAGAAAGAACTTTATATAATTTTATTGATAAATAAGTAAAAAATCTTGAGTTTGAATCTTTCAAGTAAAGAATCTTTGAGTTGTAGCAAAAACCCGAAAAATTAAATCAACGACAGCACAGTGTGTTTTAAATAGTTGTATACTTGTCGGACAAACTTTGACGTTTGATAAACGAGCTTTCTAATGAACACATAAGGTTATTGTTCTATCGTTAATTATAGCATAAGAGAGACTTTGAAGAATTCGATTAAATAGAATTTATTGTAATACAAATACTAATTCTATTGAAAAAAATCTAGCCACTTGTACATCATCGGCAATGAGTATGCTACGTTTTATTTAAAACAGGCTGTGAAACAAAGAATTGATGAGACGCGTACACATATATTTTTGTATATATCAATAAGACCTGATAATCGATAATTTTGATTGTTGAATGTGACACAAATAACGCAATGGATTTCTAATGATAACATTAACAAGAACGCGAACATTAATCGCGATATTTCGATATTGTCTTATTATTTTTCGTTTCTTGATATAAACAATGTGAATTAATTTCATTTTAGTACTAAAAAACCGAGACGCAAAATATTTTTACTCAAAATATTTTGCGTCCGACAAGTTACTTTAGCTTTGTTCAGCGTATATTAAAAATGCATTATTGTAAGCAGAATGAAAAATCGATATCGTCCTACGTGTTCTAGTTAGACAGTACATCGTATATTGTATCATTTTGAATTATTAATCACTCGTTGGATACCTAAGGCAAGTGCCTACATGCGTTTCTAACACTATTACGTACATCGACTTTCTCATTGTGCGTAAACATCTCGGTAGTATCATTCTTAGCGTAATATGAGATAAATGTGTAAATGTATTAAATTAGCACAAATTGCTCGTGATTATTTAGTCCAGTGAATCATGGCGACGTGAATGTTACGTTTTTACGCAACTAGTTATATAATTACACTCTACTTTGATATACCCATACACGCATACATACACACACAACGAAATTTTTTTTTAAATATGGATATTATTATATATTTTTGGAAGATACTCGCGAGCAGTTTTGAAGAAAAGAAACATTTTCATTTATTAGAGCGGTTTATTATTAGGATTTTTCATATTTAGCATAGTTTTTTTTTTCTTATGTAAGTTATTCAGTTAATTGCAGTCTTCTGCGCCGAGTGAATATTACGAATGATTCCGATATTTTGTTGTGAATTTACGTTCTCGAATCTCTATCATAATTTACTGTAATTTATCTTGAAATCTCTCGACCAGTGCGTAATTTAAGCGCCGTCGAAAAACTATAAAATGAAATATTTCTGTAATTTCCAACCGAAGGCTAACCTAATATGTGTAGCGATAAAGATGTATCACTTCGCAATAGGATCTTATTTAAGACGGAGCCCTGCTCCTTTCGATAAGAAAGCGATTTACTTCTTGTTGCATATATTATCGTAGATGTATCTATGAATAAATCACTTGACGTCAAAGAAGCCGTTATCTAATTCTCGATAGTATTTTATACTTTTGAGTTTATATGATGATAAATGATATTATTGATATTATTAGATTAGATTCTTGATATTGTTTTTCTTTGATTCTTGATATTTGCTTTTAATATCCGATAACGTCCTTGTTATGTGTTATCTCCCTGTTTTTGCCATTATATTTTTAATCGTCGTAAAATGTAGAATTATTTCCAAATTTCGTAAAATTTTTTCAAGTATATGTAGAGGAAAGACTCCTATTATGAAATACCGAATTCATTTTGGATAAATGCTAGAAGTCTATGAATTAAAAATGATAATAGGCCATTTTCAAGAAAATTTAATAAACTTTAAGATAATGTTATGTAAAATTTAATTGAAATTCTATTTTTTTTATTTAAAAAATATAAAAAATGAGCAAATCGCAAAGTTAAAAAATTGTACTTCTAATATGAGATGCCCTGAGAAATCGATAATAAAACACAAAGTACATCAATATTGCAATTATATATAAAACTTTATTTAATTTTTCTAAAATACAAACAAACATGACCAGTGTAAAATGAGCATGCGATGCTTTGTACTCAGGATTCGTCCTCAGGTAGTCCTCAGGAACCAAGCATCGCAGAATAACATTCGATATTTATTTCGGTTGTCCTTTTTATTATTGTACAATAATATTTATATTTTAACAATGATTTTCACTATGACATAGGAACATAGATTACAGGACAAAATTTAGGGAGGGTCTTGTGCTTTGAACTTTGAAAGATATTTTCGTAGTATTTTGATGTCGTAGTATTTGCGCTGAAAATGACTATGGTGTTCGTTTTTTTCCATTATTCTCCATTTTTTAAATAATCGCAAAAACAGTTTTTTTCGGAAGTAACTTTTTTATTAATTTTTTCCAGCTAAACAAAAAAATGATATCGCAAGGTCTGTTTTGCAGCATTTAACTCAGAAATGTTCCAACAATATTAAAAATCTTTTTTCGATGCTCATAAAAATATTATATGCAAATCACAAACAAAAAAACTTTGGAAAAATCGTAAAAAACCAGAAAAAATTGAAATATAACAAATTTTGAAATATAAAACCAAATAATTCGAAAGAAAAAAATAGTAAAAAATATCTGATAATTTATACTTATAGCTATATATTTCTAGTTTAAATCCTTTTTGGAAAAATTAATTTCCACTATTTGTTCAGAAGTTATTATTGAATTTAAAGCGCCAAAGCAGCTTGCTCGCCACTTATAATGCGCGATATCCCTTCGAGTCTGATACATAGCCACCAAATACAGGAACATATCGTATAATCTTTTTTGATCACTGATTTCAAATCTGTAAAAAATATGCAATTTGAAATGCCGGATTCAATATGGAGGACAAGAATTTTAAAAAATCCGTACATGAAAATCGAAATCTGGTAAGTTTTTGATTACTATTGCAGTAATCACAATTGTTGAATTGAAAATAACAAATCCAATAGCGATGAATAATAAGTAAATGTATACGGAATGGTAATTTTAGCGTTACCCTTATTATAATAAGGTGATACCTCCATGTGGTACAGGATGGATAACGAGAAGATATCGCGCACTGTAGGTGACGCGCGGGCTGCTTTGGCGCCTTAAATTCAATTCAAACTTCTGAACAAATGGTCGGAAATTAGTTTTTCAAAAAAGGATTTAAACTAGAAACATATAGCTATAAGTACAAATTGTCTAATATTTTTTACGCTTTTTTTTCTTTCGAATTATTTGATTTTATATTTCAAAATTTATCAATTTTTTCTGGTTTTTAATGATTTTTCCAAAGTTTTTTGTTTGCGGTTCGCATAAAACATTTTTATAAACATCGAACAAATATTTTTAGTATTGTTGAAACATTTCTGAGTTAATGCCACAAAATAGATCTCAATATTTTTTGTTTAGCCAGAAAAAATTAATAAAAAAGTTACTTCCAGAAAAAAAATTGTTTTTGCGATTATTTAAAAAGTATGATGGAAAAAAATCGACAATTTAGTCGTTATTCAGTGTATCAAAATCTTACGGAATAATCTTTCAAAGTTCAAAACACAAGACTCCCCCTAAATTTTGTCAGGCTGTAATACTTTTCAATCCAAAAGTATAAAGTTTATGATGGAACTAATAGATAGCGTTTGTTAGTTTAGCAGAAACTCCGTTATTTCATATTGGGCGCCTATCTCATAATAGAGGACTTTCCTCTATTAATATTAGTGAAAAATTTATACTTTGCACGTAACGATCTAAAATTATCCAGACAATATAAATGTCCAAAAACGAGACAAAAGACGTCTTAAGACACTTAAAAGAGATCTTCGAGACATTTTTTTTATTTTTTTAAAAGATGTCTTAAAAAAGATATACGTTAAAAAGATATATTTAATACGTTTTTATGTCCTAATTTTGGACTTTTTTATTGTCTGCAAAGTAAGTTTATTTAAAAGAAATATTTGTATGTAGTGTCTTTGATATCATTCAAGTGAAATTTACATTTTTCTATTATTATTCTAATAGACGAGCATTCTTGGAAAAACTTGAAAAATGATTTCGAAAGATGAAGTCTCTCGAAATAGGGAATGCAGAACGATTTATCTCTCCGTCCTTTGCGAGG